GTTTTCACGGGTCGTGACAGCCTTGCAGTTGGTAAGTGTTGGACTTTGCTGGTCACTTTTACAATGAGTTAATCCTAGATTTTGATAATTATGAGGTTGTGGTTCAGTGAACATTTTTTATTTCTGCTTGTTGTAGTTAGGTATTCTGAACGTGGTAAAGCTGGTTACCTTCCATGAAGGGTATTTTCAGCTATGGTCTGTTCCTCTAGTAGTTAATTCTTGGGGGCAACAAAGCCAATGTTTAGAGCTGAATTATTTTTCCACAACGAGAAAGAAACAGACAAAGCAGCAGGTGGAGAAAGCAAGAATTTCAACAAGGAGAGTGTTTTCTATGTTCATGTTTCTCCCTACTTATCGTCCCTTGCTACGGCTTTCATTGTATATCCTTCTTCCATAGAGTATTCAAAAATATAAATTTCATGCTGTCATGTGGTGTAAGATTTCTGTTTTTGATTACCGTGTTGGGTGGGGCAGAATGTGCCGTTAGTTTTAGGTGGTAACTTATGGAGGTCCTCTCAGCGCTTCTCATGAAAGGTCAGTGTAGGTGTGGTGGCTCTCATTACACATTAGGAGAGCCGAGTATACGAAGTGTCGTGAACGGGACCGTTAGTGTATTCGATAAGCCGTAGAGGTCACCAGATGATAAGAAGTCAGCTAATAACCGACCAAATTCAGAGGTTGATTTGGAGGCCTTCACTTCAGCTGGAAGTCTGTTCCACAACTAGGATAATTTGACTGTGAAGAAGTTTGTGCGCAAGCAGGACTTGAAAGATCTCATTTTAACGCTATGGACGTGATTGCGCAGATCGTAACAACTGTTGTGTTCGAACTGAAACTCACCACTGGCTGTAAACGTGTGTTTATGTAACACATTAAAGGATAGTGTCAGGTTGACTTTTAGCAGTCTCATCCGAAGTGGTTCTAGACTTAGTGTTGTGCATCTGGAGCTGTAGTCCTGTTTGCAATCGTGTACTAACAATCCAGCTGTGAAATACCTTCGGACACCCTCTATTTTATGTTTGTCCATTAGGCGGATACCACTCAGTATGAATGGACAGTATTCTAACAGTGGACGTAGGCAAGTTTTATAGAGTAGCAACTTGACTTCTTCGAAGTGGAAGTTACGAACTATGTAACCCATCAGGATCCTAGATCTGCGAGTCTGTGATGCTACCTGTTCAGAAAATGTGAGTTCCCTTGGATATCTTAGTTTAAGGTCACATACACTTTTAAGAACAGGAAGTTTCGTAGACTGAAGATATAGTTGGACATCCACCGATGGAGCACCAAAACATATCCAGTCACATTTGCCTTGATTGAACTGGAGTTTCCGAGCAGTAGACCATGCTGATATTATATCGGGCTCCCCTTGTATTAGGGCTTGGAAGTGGGATGAGTTATCACGGGTGAATGTGCATGCAACTTTTATGCCATCAGTAAACAAGAATGGTTCACTGCATGTAAAGCAGCTGCAGACGTCATTGACATACATTTGTACGCATTAACCTTTCCTGTTTTTACTTGTAAACAGACAGCTAACCACAGGAACCCTTGATCCGCGAATTCTAGACGAAAAAATCAGTAAAGGGAAAGCTTATCCTTGGATACTGACGTTTTTTGCCTGGCCTCCAGCTTCCTCGAAAATAATTAGATATACGCCTTGTCGGTAGAATGCCTTCCCTCCGAAAGTAGCAGCTTTTCGAAAAAAATTGACTACGGAATGTGCAATCTTCAGCCGGTCAATACCATCACTCTTCGAACAGACAACAAGGTGGTAGGTCCAACTATCTTGACCAACTGCTGTAGCTCGATTTACTGCATCTGCGGCTCTATTTATCCCACACGATTATATATCTTGGGCTTGTGGGAAGCTTGTGGTACTCTTCCGAGTCATGCAACTAGACAGTCATAGACAAGGTTGGCAACTCACTTTGCTGTCATGGTTCTTTTAAATTTTACCTGACCTAGGCATTTTACCTCACTTTTTCCTCTTAACCACCTATCGAAATGGGTAACGATAGCCTTAGGTCTAAATCCAGTCTCAGAAACACCTCATGGAAGGCCTCGTCTCAGGTATTAACCCCCTTCCTTGGATGTAACAAGGGGCGGGGCAAGAGGTTCAAAACTACTGTGAACGATTTCAAGTCTATCTCGGAAGAGTAGTAGTGACTACCTATTCCCAAAAAACGTCGAATTCCTGCCCCTCAGTACTCATCTGTGCTCGTCCAGTGAAGAGCATGACATTCTGGCACACCTTGTCCAGACCCTGTTTGTCTGAGGTAGCTATCACAGGGAGATAGTGGGGGAAGAGAAACCCCCGGCCAACCTCCCTATAAAGGCCGATGATCACTACATGTGTGATCCGATTGCGGTCAAAGGGGATGACTTCTGAGCGTGTTATTTGCAAATTTGGTTTGACTGTGAGTGTGATAAGAACGTATCGGACCAATATTGCCCCTCCGTGGCGCTTTGCTCCTGAAAACAGTTCTGGCGTATATGCCCACAGCTCCATATGAGGGCTCTCCTCTACACAGATCAGCTCGAGGAAGTCGTAAAAGACACCACATTGGTTGCTGAGGCTCCCGCACCCGCACAAACCACTATTGCAAGTGACGGTCCGCAAAACTGAAGCATAAACACCAATGGGAAGCATATGCTGCACCCTAAGACCAGGCAGTTTATGAGCGAAGCTGTGCCGGGTCACCTCGAGGAAAGCTACCACCCTTGAGAGTGACCCTGGGCTTGGATACGGAAGCCGGGCTAGGGCTCTCTGAAACCCCTGATTCTGCCTTCGGTACACGACCGAAAATGTTGTCATCAAGCTGAAGTTCTCAGCTTCCCGACCAGCATTCAGTGCCATTCAGTGCAGAAGAGCTGCATGAAGCAAAAGTAACCCCCTGCCATAGTCCTCGAAAATCTGTCAGTGCTCCGCGCAGAGAAGTCGACTGGATGAGACCATACCCGGTCGTCTGTGTTGCAACAGTACGCAGGTGCCTTATGCGGTTCGTCCCGCAGTCTGTTTCGACGCTCTTTAGGTAAACACTTGCTCCCACAGGAGTGGAACGAGCTATCCCGACGACCATCTTCAAAGGAGGAGACAGACAGCCCAAAATGCTACCGGTCCCTAAAGTTTCCACCGGTTTCACCGAATGTGATGTAGAACCCGGTGGACGATCGTATGAGGACATACTTAGACAATCGGTGAGCTTTAAGTGATGCTCAGAGGCAGAGGCAGTAGCTGCCGCCTATTACACCTTATGGCAGAGGGTGATAGCTGGAAATTGTGCCGATCATATGATTTTCCTATATTTCGCTGAGGTCTTCAACTCAGTTTCTCCTTTCATTTTCTTCCGCAAAATATCAAGGTTGGGTATCAACGGTCAGGCCGTCATATGGTCGCAGGACTATTCAGATGTTAGAGAATTCTGTAACCAATGTCAGCACAGTTTGCTCTACCTGAAGGACCCCATGATCTTGTGAATCATAAGGAGGGATTCTGAGTCCGCTGCTACTTCTTCCTTTTGTAAACCGTCTTACACTGTATCTCAGCCTGCCAGATTCCACCTTATGAGACGATGTTAGGTTATAGAAAGCTGATTCAGGTGTACTGAGAAGTGATTTTAGACTGCTCACTGAGTGGGTGGCTAATGGGGGACTGGCATTTTATTTGGACGGATGCCGAAACATGTTTGTTCTCATCCATGACTCTCAGAAAGTATCGTACTCTCTCTGTGGAGTGCCACATTCTCACACCACCAAGGAGGAAGACCTGGGACCAAAACTAACTGACAAGCCAGGTACAAGATGTAAAGGCCTGGAGATATCTCCATAGCCTGCTCAGTATCGCACTTCATGCGCAGAAAAATAGGTGAATACACTATGGACGTCTTGCTGAGTCTATAAAAAGCCCATAAACGACCTCGCTTAGTGGTCCGTAACCCCATTATACCATCATGTCTGAAAATAGATGTGAAGCTCCTGCAGAAAGCCCAGAAGCAAGTACTAAAAAGTATAGCGGGAATGTGGCAGAAACCTTAAGATGACGGGACGAAAGATATAACACTTTAATCCTTCAATCATGGTGGGTTACGTGACAACTTGTTGACGGTTTACAAAACGCCGAGTGATCCAAGTCATCCGGACAGTAGAACCCCACCGAAACGTGATTGTGACAACCATCGTGGTAACCCGAGAAGAATCATGCATCAGGTGGCGGAAACCATTGCACGTTTACACGTTTTCTCTCTGCTAGTTTGCGGTCACTAGAACGCGTTGTCTGCCGAGATTGCCACTGTTCCGTCTGCTGGTGTCTTCAAGGGGGGTTGGACAGCTATGTGGCGACGCACGATTTGTGCTCCGCGCAAACCGGTACACTCAACCCTGCACCGTATCTTGTGTACCTCTAGTATCATCATGAACTTAACTTTATACTTCCCTGTAGGCATCTCCTCCTGTTATCAATCCCTGCCATTAGTATTATTATCTCCATTCCCGTGGGCAGACCTTTCATCCTACTTGCTCCTTCTCTTCCCCCGACTCTACAATGTCACAATATACGTCAAAGTTTTTCTTATCACTCATCTCCTAAGAATCCACTTGGGCTTCGCCCTCCCTTCCTTTCCGCTACCTTCCTGCTTGTTTTTTTCTTCGCACTTACCTTGATTCCTCTGGATATACTTTCCGTCTTCTTTTCATGATCAGCCCCACCAACCGCCTGGTTGTTCAACACTTGAGGGACCCATCTGCACCATATTACTCGGAAAAAAGACAAAACCCCCACAAATTTAATCAACATCCAACCTCCCGTCAGTCTAACCAGAGATACTGCAGGCGAGCGGGTAGACCTATTGAAACGGAGTCCATCAAGAACCTGAAACCCATCTGCAGGGTCTAGAAGCAAGCAAAAAGAAGTCAGTTGGCTCAAACTGGCTTGTAAAAGCATATTGGACATTGGAATAAACAGTTGTACATTTAAACATTTGGATATTCAGTGCGTTTGAGGCGTTGTTTCAATTTCAAGGTTAAAAAAGTATTAATGACTTTCTTAGGTCCAGATAAGAGAACTTAAAGACTGTCACTTTCCTATACTAGCGCTATTATGAGAAAATGATCTTGGGCGTTGGATGTTGTTGGCTGGTAAATCATTCAAGTATGAGACAGAATCTGATCAGGTGTACGGCCTTTGAAGACTGTTAATCAGAAATAAACAATTTTTAATGCAACTCATTTGCTCTTAAAGATTTGAGTTTTGAAAAAATTAGTCTCGATAATTCATAAGCCAATAAAATATGCCTTAACTGCTTCTGGAAGGTCTGGTGAATTGACAAAGCACACGTGTGGTTATGAACCCCAGATTCCGCACAGTAACTTTATTTTTGAAGACCGTTGGAATAAAAAAATACTGCCTAGTTTATGCGCCCTCTAGGTTACCCAGTGGCAATGCGTAACTTCAACTACATAAGCTGGCCACTTTACTGGCTTGCAGCACCCTTTCAAATGATAAAACTGCCAAGTGCCAGGTTATGGGCCCTCCTGTTTTAGTCTTCGTGTTGAAAGGAGGTTAGGTCACCTGAATTTCCTGTGTTGTATTAATTTTCGATAAACAAAACCCTAACAGCTTGTAACTAGCTCTTTTTCTGTATCCCCTTATATGCGTAAATAATACAAAAGTTTTCCGTTAATTAGACCCTTAATGAGTAAATGATTTAGGGTTCATCCGTAAGTGAGACAATTAGTGTTGAAATTGAGCGCAAATAAAGTGGGATTAAAGCTCTGTTCACGCACACAGGTGTAAATTAAGCCGCAATTCCATAAATTATGCGGGTAGGGGAGAGAGGTTATTTCCGCACTCGTAATCACTACATTGTTTCCGCATTTCTACTTGACTGTGTATGACTAACCGTGCGTTTTCGAACTTCTACTACTAGTTTTTAATGGATCTAATTACTGCAACCCACTAACCATTCAAAATAGTTCCAATTTTTCGTAGCTAAACTCAGTCTGCGCAAAAGTGACATTCTACGTATGAGTTGCCGAACCTTCAGGGATTAAACAAAAAAATCACTTGTTTCTGATTGGTTATTTCATAGCCATCAGTTGTATGGCTCAATCATGGCACGATTTTCAGTCACTTGGACCTATAATAACATACACGATTACGGCTCATTGGGGTTCCAATCCTACTTTAAAGTAAACGTGACATGTCGGAACGTGTCGTAATAAGAGATCCCAGCGGTTCGCAGTGCGATGAGACAAATGAATTTTGAAGGAAGATGATTTAACTGTGGCCTTAGAAACTCGGAGTAATGTAATCTCATGTGCTTAGTTTTAGAAGGTGTAAATCAATAGGATAAACCAAATCTAGTTATCAGTTAAGATGGGGGAAGACAAAGGAAATGGATTTAGTCTATTCAGTTGCCTGTCTCTTGGAATTCTTGAACTTAGGCTCACTGCTTGTCTTCTCTATTGCTAATAGAGTCCAATATTGGTCATATGGTTATGTTCAAGATACGTGTGGTACACTGTCGCCTAAATTTCTCTGCTTATGGTTAGTGGCATGTTTGTGTTAACCAAATTCCGTGCGTTTTGTTTGTCTTTCCAGGTACAGAGGGTAAAGGCTTTTTCATTTATTAAATATGCAATTTCAAACTACTTTTAACAAGGGTCTACATGTCATCAGTGGCCTGTAATGAAATGAATGACCTAATAATATTCAAGTTGGGTGAGGTTCTAGGTAGTTTCTGAGGCAACCTGAGTGCAAACAGATTTATGAGGGAAGCTGATACTTCCCGACTGCCCAAACCATGGAAGGTTACTTATTGAGGTACCTGAAAAAATTGAATTAATAGTGGTGTTGGGTGGCCACAGGGCTCAAAGGCATTAGCTTGAGCCATCGGCAGCCAAAAATCTAGCATCTTGTGCCATAGACGTGTGCTGTTTTAGCGAGATATGCATACCGGCATTTACGGTTATTCACTCAACCTCACTTCTAGTTTCTAGAGATTCGATGGCTAGTTTTAGCGGTTATGCAAGTGTATTTATTGCATCATAGGGTTAGAGGTGCTCTGCTCGACTGGATCCCAGTTGACAGTTGCCTGTGCTCTGTTCTACTGGGCGGTACTTTGAGGACTAAAATAAATAGTAAAACTCGCCATCGTCTCCTCATAATCTTTGCTTATTCAGCTACTGACTGCAGTTCCAATGAAGTGGAGAATGAGTTCTACCGAAGACCATCTGGCCTCCTACTGAAAGGCAAGCGTTCAAAAGTGGTAGTTTCGGTTGATTTCAATCCTCGAGAAGATAGACTAAGTCAGGCTAAAAAGCATTTAGGTGGTTTTTCGTAGTCCCAGCCGAAAGAACAGATAACTATAGTTGGGTGCTACAACTGTGCTCCTACACCTATGTTTCTTGTTAACGTGAACTGACATATAGGGAGACATTGTCTGACATGGCGTCCACAGATCTCGACTCAGCGGTGGACACAGATAGACCACGTTGTTATCAGTTGTCGCTAGAGAGGGTCAGTGAAAGATTGCCTCTTTCTGGCAACCACCATTCGGCTCCACCACGTGTATATCTACGCCTGAATGGACGTAGAAAATTTATGACAACTAGACCATTGTGAGTGCATTTTGACAGTGAGAGCACTAAGGCTACTTCCAGTGAGAAAATGTCTAGACAGCTTTCGGAGCAGAACAACATCGCCCATCCAGGGGAAGCCTGTCGCTGTCTCCAGTCTACTGTAAAAACAGTGTTAAAGACCGTAAATGACTGTCTGAATGATGTTTGAAAGTTGTGGGTCTCAGCAGCTTCTGAATTACTGGATGTAAACGAATGCGTCACTGCAGGCTCCGAGTACAATGAGGAGCGAATGCAACTCAAATGTAGACTAACAAAAGGTCTACACAGTGATCGCTAGAAGTGGTGGGCAACGAAGGCTAAAGAGATGGTAAAGGTAGTAGTGATAGGTAACAGTGGGCAGTTATTTATGATCTGAAACGAGGAAGGGCTGGAGGACCAGGTGAACTATTACCAGGGGGTATTTAAGTAAAGTGGTTGTAGATTATTGGTCAGGTTGCTTTGTACGTTGGCTACTGTATGGACGTCAGATACGATGCCCTTTGAATGGTCAAATCAGTGACTGTCCCAGTCTTCAAGAAAGGTGAGTTGTCCTCTTGTGATAACCACTGGGTAATCAGTCTGACGAACAATGTCTAAGACTCCGGATTCTATAATTATCAGATACCTTGGTGAAACAGTTAATCATAAAAGCCAGACAGGCATATGACTTGGCTGTAGGTACATCGAGTGCACCACTCCACCAGGTTCTGAAATGCAGGCACGCTTGCCGACTTCCGACACTGGTAGTATTCCGATTTTCTCTATTGACAACTCTTATAGCAGTCTTTCTGAAAGGAGTACCATGCAAGTATATCACTCTGTTAAAGGCTTTAGACTTGATAAACCGTGTGTGTTGGAGCCTATGATGAATTGTACTCCGAATGGTGTCTGTCAAGGCTGTCCACTCTCTCCACCCTTATAGACGTACTTGTAGAGATTTCCCTGTCATCGCCTGACCTTACAGAGATTGATCTTATCACGGGAGAATTCTTAGTAAACCTGGAGTACGCAGGTGACATAGTCATTTTAGGTGAAGACGCTTACTAGATGCGGAGTCTTCTGAATTAATTGAGTGATGATTCGAGAATGTTAGGGATACGTTTCTCGTCAGTCAAATGCAAATTGTTGCTCCAGGACTTATCTTCATTAGTGCCCTGTCTAGGAGTAGGAAGTGAATTAATTTGATTGCGTTGATCACTTCACTTATATGGGAGTTGACGTCAGCCCTGGTGGACCGACAAAAGCTTGGCACAAGTTCAAAAGGCTCGCCAACTTACGCCATTTATGGCGCCGCCATGATGTCTGATTGCCTATTAGAAGTTGTGTAAAATGCTCTGCAGCTGTTTCGGTTACCTAACTTCGCTTTCTCCACACAGACTCCCCTTCTAGAGCAGATTTAGAGTATACGGAGACTAAGGTTTTCCTGCCCTGTAAGTGCCATTCCATTTAGTAGCAGACAATCAGAATTATAGGTAAAAATGTTTGTGTGTGTGAGTGAGGTAAAGTTCTTTAACCGAAGGGCACTTAAATGCGCACGTGAATGATATGAATCTCTGCCTTCTGAAATTCGAAAGATATCGTTTTACCAAATACAGACACGATATACGCTGCGTTTGACTGCATACGCGTTGTTGTTGTTGTGCTCTGATGTTTTATTTTCTCAGTCCAATTTTCTCAACCCCTTTTAACATGATCTAATAAGTCATATACGGCCTACCACTAGTGTTCTTTTACTTAAAAATGACGTCTTGATTGCCTCATCTCAAATGTTCAAATGGTTTCGTACCATATGCTTCACCTAACTTAGCTTTATTAGGTCTTATTTTCAGTACATAGTTATCTGTCGATAAATGGCTCAGTACAAAAGCATTCAAAAAAAGCAAGTTTGTTAGCCACGTAGAAGCATTACTTAGCGTCCTGGCTTTATTAGACGTGGAAGAGTGAAGCGACCTATTTTCTGTCACTTGTTGGGCGAAATTTTTTGAGTTTAGCCTCCTAATTTCAATACAAAAATATATGTGCATAGGGATATTTCATTAATTAACCAATTTCACAGCTGAGTAGAAACTCAGGTAAATTAACCTTAGCATTACATTCAGAAATTTCCATTTTCATATTTTTAGATAAAAGTTCATTGTCTGTTGGCAACATAGGCATCACATGAGTGTAGGATTCATTTATCCCAAATCCAACCCTTGTGATATTTTGAAGTAATGAACAAATATGCACTACAACCGCACAATTCTGAATTGTGCAATGAGATGGTATTCCTCCCACTTTACTTTAATCTTTCCAGCTTTTCTTACAAGTCTTGGTTGAATTCTGTTAACGGGAATCGTTGGATGGCTAATGTTTTGAAGATTGATAGAGCTTCTGAAGCTCAGTCTGGAGTTTTATCAAATTCTGCTTCGGTGTTTGAACTACAAATAATTGATGCCAAGCTGGAGCGACTTGATGAATACCTAAAAGATTTGTTTGTTCCATTTTACTATATTTTCGTCTTAGTGGTGGGTTTTTGGAAATGATCAAAGCAGCTGCAATTGATGTTTGTTTACTTGGAAGCTTCACTTGCGATATTGGCAATCAAAACAATATCTGTAAGTAGCTACTTAAAACTTTACAGTTTCAGATCATTTTTGGAAGTACAAGGAGGGTTATAGCAGTCTTAGTACTCGTTACAATCTACTCAGAAACAATAAAGTTCATTCATTAAATGCATTATCGTTTTTCTCTCTCAGGATCTATTTCATTACCAACAGAAGTTAGATTCCTTATTGCAATCACGCAAAAACCAAGTTTGCCTACCTTTTAGCTACTGGCCTGATCCCGAACCGCGAGGAGATAGTATCGAAAATATTTACGAGCTTAGATCATATCACTTAAAGGTTTGTACCATTCGGTTATAAATTACAAATCAAATGTATTTTTGCTTTCTGATGTTTCCCAGTTTTGAACTAACCTGAGATCTTTGTTCTCATGTGTTGGCTGTCAAACCTATCAGGTGTACGCTAAGCGTTTTCAGATGTCTTTTTAAACATTCCAAGGTTTCACTGTACGTAGCTTTTTCTAGAGATCAACATGAGCGATGTAATAATTGTCAGGAAAAACTAGGTATTTCTTGGTAGTGTGGTTTTGTGACTAAAACTTACTTATTGGGATTGAATTTCAGCTAGTTATTGTAAACAAATCTGCCGAGTAGAATTGCGACTGTGACTCGTTGTTGGCACTTATAACGTGTTGTATCTTATAATTTTTAAAATCCTGGACCTCATCTAATCTGTGAACCACTTTTTTCTACTGCTCTATTTTTTGATTGAATTTAAGCATATACAAGTATTTATAGCTATTTTGTCTGCATCAATAATAAATCATGGGTGTTTATATGTATATCTTACATGTGTTCCACAAATGCTTTTTGAAACTAAGATAATCCGCTGAAATCAAAATTATTCATGTTCTATGTTTTGTTTTTTCATTCTCATCCTGGGGATCATCAACAATTAACAGTAATTCGGTCTATTCAGTCTTAAGCAGATCAAAAGAATGATGGTAGTAATGCTCAACTGTAAATTATAGTCTTCAAACCATTTTTCTCAGTTTATGTTGGTTAGTATTTTCTCTGGTAACTCAGCAGTTACGGATTGAATAAAATTTTTCTTAAAGTAATCGGTAGTACAAGCTTGAAACATAACTGTACGCAGCATGGGAACCATCAAATGTATAACTTAATGATATAATGACTTTTCTTATAAGTAGGAAGATAAAAAACAGAATGACCACAGAACTAATCTCACTAGATATATTTCAAAATTTTCATCAGTTTTAAAGTCATTTTTCAGCCGTGAGAGGTGAGGAATTCAAAGCATAATTGCAATTGGTTTCAATTTTGAACTGTATTGTTTATCATCTCGAGGCCCTAGGTGGCATGGTATCTCAATCTCATCCGGAAAGTCACAATGCGCCAGTAAGTGTTAACCCAACTAATTATGCTTTATACTATGGTAGCACTTCATGAGATGACCAGCTCTCCGCCTTCTGCAACCTGTCTTAGTATTCACGGACAATGAAGGATGTGATGGCTACTGAACGTTTTATGCAAAATATGTATCTATCAATATGACTTCGTTTTTCAGTTGGCGATCACAATGTTCGATCACGGTTAGAGTGCATACTTAGTTCAAACATCTCGTTCCTCAAGACTTAACTGCTGGGATGCCTATATTTCTTATATTCCATACTTACAGTTTGTAAATATTTGAACTGGTTTATTCGCGTTCTTTTCCCGCGCATGGGTCATATTTCATATAGTTCGCTATTGTCCTGATTGGCTCCTGCCTCTTTCAATGTACTAATTATCCTTTGTCTTTCAAGGTTACTGTAAACTCTATAGGGTCCGTTTTCATTCATAAACGTTTTCAGTCTGAGATACTATAAACTGGTTTGATTTCCAGTCTTTTAATTTCTCTTTGCGAATCACTTGGGTTGAATTGTCTTAACCTTGGACTCTTAGTGGTTAAGTATTTTCGTTCGTTCTCCTAACTCCTCTTCAAACACTAAAAGTTAATGAAAGTGAGATGTGACTGATATCCAGAAAAATTGTATATGGAGTCTAAAACGGTTTGCTGTTAATATAGAAGTGTTTCACTGTTTACACTTCTCTACACTTTTTGTACCATTCTGTATTCGGTCGGTATGTACAACAATGTTTCTCACGTTTTCATCACCAAACCACATGAGAAATATTACAGCCTTCGCCTAAAATGCCTGCTTTTATGTGAAAGATAAGTTACGACGATTGAGTGGTTCATTGCACATATAGTAATCCATCTGTTCCCGTTAAGCTAGGTGCTACACCGAAATCTATACTTCAACGTATTTGAAAACATTGCTTGGTGAAATTTAGCAAAGATGAACACGAACTAGCTGTTATTTAGTTCTCAGCATGTGGTAGATTCAGGCTATTGAACCTGTTAAAATATAAAAGTGAGCAGAAAAAAAAGATATGAGGAGAGATGAAATTCGAACAACCTTTCGTTATCAATTGTATTCAGTAATGGCAAGCGGTGGAGTCCGAAACACACCCTCCATCTTATATGAATCTTTTCAACTGCATATACATGCTTGTATTTTCCTTTCTACTCAGATATAAACCTATTACCCTTCTTTTGGAATACCTGTGTTATCCATTAGTTTAAAAAGCATTTTTGCGAGGCAACTTGGAATTATTGTGCTGCGTCGACCCACTTCTCTCTTCATATGATTTGATTATCCGAATATCTTGATACTACGAAAGAATGTTGCTAAGATTGTAAGCTTCCACTGCATGAAGCGACTGGGTCATGTGTTGTGCATGCAACCGTCCACCTTAGGGTGGATGGCTGGTTAAGATGAAGTGAAACTGTATCGATAAAACCCATCGTTTCTGTTCCAGGTTATCTCAATTTAACCTGATGCACGTTTTGTGTAAAGTCATACGTTTTTATTTGTTTGGTAACAATTATTCTGCAGTTTGTTATTCAGAAAATGATTAACAAATTAGCATATAGCGCTTGATTATTACGATAGCTATTATGTTAATATTTGTTCCAGCTGTTCATCGATACCCAGTTTTTAGTATGACTTCTTTCATTTCAGCCAGGTACAATGATAGAATGGGGCAATCATTGGTGAGATGTTATTTAGTTTTAGTAACTTTTGCATTGGTCATTTGTAATCTTAGTTTTGTGTGATATATTTCATATATTTCAAGCTGTATTTTTACTTTGATACTAGTTTCTTCAAAGTGTCAGCATACTTATAGATTATAGTCCTAGTTACTAAACTGTAAGTTCATATGAATTGGTATTGATTCTAGTTTGGTTTTTTGATGATCATAATTCCCATTGTGACATCAAAACAAGATATTCAGCGAAGAGGACTCTTTTCAACGAATTTACTCTCAGACTGTACGTTCGTATATATATATATATATATATATATATATATATATATATATATATATATATATATATATATATATATATATATATATATATATGATATTTAAAGACTGTAATCCGTGAGGAAGAGTTAACTTAAGTAATGGGGGGTTGAAACAATAATAATGGTGGTTATAATTGTAATGTTGCTAGTTGATGACATAAAGGTCGAATGATAACAAAAAGGGTTACGTAAGATTTTAAATCGTTTTATAAGGTGTATATATGTAAAAAGGATGAGAACGTGATGTAGTTAATAAACAATCAAAAGATTAGGTAATATAAGTGGGGCAAGTTAACTGGGGTAAATCGAAATAACGCAGGAAGCAATTAAAAATAAAGTGATAATGATGATATAAGGGTACAAAGATTAATCTGACAAAAAGAAGTGAAAAACGAAAAAAGGGAACGAAGTACACTAAGGTAGAGACAAAGATTGTATATACTTCTTTTGGACACAAAGGTCTGGCCTTAGTTCATGGATAGCCAAGGCCTCTGTTGTTTTTAGAAGCTGAACGCAGAGGAAAGGTGAGGTGTTTGAGCGACTTCTATAGACAACCTTAAAATCCTTGTTTGGGTTGGTCGAATAGTTGGAATCAATTGAGCGCTCAAGGATAGAACTTCTGATGCATTTCCTTTTACCCTTATAAAACCGGGCTGGAATATGTCCTCGTATACGTGTTGACGGCCGACGTACCTTGCTCCACTGGAGCAGGTGAGCTGGCAGATACACATGGATGTGGCCTATCGAGGAATATTGTCTTTTATACAAACGGAGAACAATATATGACTGGTAAAGATCTAGTGAGAAAAAAAGTTCTGCTAATTGATCCAGAAAGACGATTTTTCTGGATATATGATGCTGCATCACCTTTGAAGTTTACAGTCTTTAAGTATCATATATTTACGAATGTACAGTTTGAGAACAAATTCGTTGAAATGAGTCGTCTTCGCTGAATATCTTGTTTTTGATGATCATCTTTTTCTAAGCAGGAAATTATATTAACCTTTTGGTACTGGTTTTTGTATGAATTATGAAACCGTTTCATTTATCGTAAAACCTGGCATGAAGATACTGTTTATTGGAGCAACTGTATTTCTGAATAATAAAAAGGTAGTACAAACAAATATGCATCTAAACAGAATCATTTTTAAGTGGGGGGAGTTAATATATTGGAATACAGTTAGGGTGTAATTTGAAATGCAAATTTGTGAACAATACTCATTCAAAATGTCTACGATATACAACCGATAATGTTTACCAACTTCACTGTCGTATTATTGTGATCTAAAAATCCTAGTTGGGGACTATGTAGCTTATTGTTACTTAGTCTGACTTTTACGTATATTTAGTTTACCACCTTGCTGTCAACACTTTTTTTGAGTTATGATTAATCAGTCATCGGAGTTAAACTATTTTATCCGTAAGTTTAACTGTTTCTAACTGGGTTCGAGTCGGTTAAAGTTGAATCTCAAACTTCTAAAAGAACCTTGTGTGACCGGCCTCGAGCAGGTGTCTCTCGATCTGTGTGGTCACACTAAACTGATTCACTTTCTGTGTCAAGTACTTTTCAAAAACAAATTACACCATATAGTCAGTCAGGAAGTGCCAAAATCCCTTACAATTCTGTCAGCGGCCAAGTTCCTTCTAATCATTATCAATTTCCAAAATCTTTATCTTCTAATCTTTGTTCACATCTCTCAGGCAAAATTCCTACATCACCTTTAATTCTTCTGGCTGTGCTACTCTTGGTAACGATTCGGGTTCACAGAATAGTGTTCTTTGTTTCCTAAAACCATGCTCCAAACTGGATATCGGAGCTTTCAATGTCGGCACTGTACATGAAATCAGACAACAAATTTCACCCCAAGCTCGGGCCATGGATATGTGCTACTTTACTAAAACACGCACATAGGGTACATATGCGGTTATTCACTCAACCTCACAAATAAGGTGAATTTGTGGAACTCACCCTTTGAGTTTCTGGGAATTCGATGACTAGGGAGTCGCGCGTGGTCCTAATTATAAAACACGCAACAATTATTGATTTACGATGCATGTAATAATCTTCAGAAATCTAACTCAGGATGAACGCTTGATCAATACGTCTACAATCTAAACAAAACCTACTGTGCTTCTCACAAACCAGGTTTCTCTTCGTTTCATAGAGCTTGTGAAATATGACAGCAGCCAATACTTTTGACGATGTTAATAGAAAACTAAAACTCTGAAGGTTGGTGCATAGGATATGTAAACGCTTACCAGCGATTCTACATTCTGTCAACATCACCAGTTGATTAAAAACGACACTGAAACGATTGGAATTGTCTACCAAATATTTGGAAATCCTTTTTAGCATGCTGTGATGTACTGTTGAACTGGTCCACTGTAGAAGATTGTATAATCAAATCTACGTTTTGTGAATATTTTTAGGTAACAAAGTAAATGCTTAGTCGATGATGCTAATTTCAGTTTACAAGGTTTATTGTTGGACTTAATTACAGTATCCAGATTTTATTGCTGTTCATCATATAGTTTCAGTAGGCTTAGGGTGCTCATAAACGATTAAACAATGAATGTTGTAGAGACTTTTGTTCATTTGGTTATTATTTAGTTTTATCCTGTAATGAATAATCTTTTTGATCATTAAGGGCTCAGGCGATAAAAGTTAGGTCTAAGAACAATGAGGCAGTAGCTGGATTCTTCTCTCACATTGGAGATATGCATGTTGTTCATCACCTTTGGGGTAAGTGGTCATTTTGTTATCTATAATTGAACGTAATTATAATCTGTAGACCGTCTAAGTTGAAGTATAACTGATCAAACTATATAAGGTACTAGCATTTATCATCGTTCGCTGTTCTAAAATGTATTGCCTTATTTTGTCTAATGAGACTAAGTAGATAAGGCGTTTTAAACCTGCTTTACGTGCCGATGTTTTGGCAGTCGGTTACTACCATTGTCTCACGTAGCGTACATGGTGCACAACCTATTACATGGACCTACACATAATTCTCCAGTTCTATCATTATGTTTTAAAAATGGTGGAATTTTACGTTTTACCGTGTTGAAGCTAGTCAGAATATTTTGACGTTCATGAATTCTCTCTATCTATTTTTTCGTACAATTGTTCATTGATACTGCTAAGCAGTCCGCCTTACTTCATTCTAGACAGTCTGTAGTATAGCTAATAGCTCTGCCATGAGTATAAACATACATTTGATTGGTATGATTCTAAGGTTAATTTATATGCACTAGCATTGTTTTGACTTTCGTTTAGGGTTTAAAAAATGTTTGTTAAGCGCATTCCACATTTTCAACCAGTGAGAATGAACTTTCTGTAGGGATAATCCTTCTTCTGGTTATGCAACTGGTAGATAAGCAGATCAAGTTGTTTTGAAGGGGTTCAGATTTGATATTGGTAGTTGCAGCATTGATGTGCTAGCTAGCTAGATATGCTTGAAAACCATTTGTTAGGAGTTCGCAGGCAGCAGATGGGTCCGTAAATGATAAAAATAACAAAAAATGACTTCTCATTCTATCGAATCACGAAAATTTGTTAAGTTGCTTTCAGAAATCGTTTCCAACTCTAACATAGAACAATCTTAGCCGTATGATGTACTATGAAAGTCGCTTGAACTACATAATTGGGACTGATACATTAGTGCGTGAATAACTATAGCATATTATGTAAGAACCTGTGGCTATGCTACTAGAATACCAACTGAAACAGTTTTTCAATCAGCTCTCGATATAAACTGTTAATTGTGTTCATTCCTTGCTGATTCACCTTGTTTAACTTCTTTCCAATTCTCAGTGTTCACTTTCTGGTGGCATTGTTTTCTCTAAGCTTGTTAATTTAATCGTGGAGCTTTTATTACCATTACAGACAAAATTATCAGCACAAATTTCAAAAGGAAATGAGCTATGCTAATCACTTATCAAATTCACGCTTTTATTAAAGTCGTCTTACGTGTTACTGATGTCTTTCTGTCAGAAACACGTTTATCTAATTTCTTTTGTGTGTTTGAGTTGAAATATTTTGTTCCTTCCGTTTATTTCAGCTTATCGGGACCTTGAAGCACGGAGGAAATCGCGGGATGAAATTTGGCAGGACCCGAGATGGGGGAAGTGTGTAATGAATACAGGTAATTATTGCTTATTTAGTAAACATGGTAACAAGCTGTTGTGTAGTTTAAGAACGCATACGTGACTACATTGATAAATTTTACAACTTATATCACTTACTCCTAATCTCACTAATAGACTAAGTCGACACTCGTCAAACTTTGCAGTAACTGGAAGTTTATTTGTTGCATATGCCAAACTATTGGATTCTAGCAACCAATCGATGGGCAAAAACAGTTATTTAGTCATCAAGCTTAATATAATTTACTTTCGTAAAATCAGAAATTATTTTTTTAAGTTTTAAAAAGTAACTTTTTCTGTATATTTATCGGTATGTGATATAAAAAACTTTTATTTTTTAATTTCCTTCTATTCAGTTCCTTTAATGCATTCGATGACAAGTAGCATTCTTCGTCCAACACCATACAGTCTGCTCCGATAATTGATTTAATGCCTTTGAGAAGATCAACGTTATACTCAAGTTGTTTGAGCTATAGTTTACAACTGTTAAATTGCTTTGCTACTGCTCGTTTGATGAGCGTCACTAGTAATCAGTGAATAATTTTTGATTGTTTTAATATCAATGTATTGTAAACTGACTAGCGAAATATTGTTTGTTAATATCACTGCATAATTTTTTATTACTCCTTGGTGTATGTCAATAAATTATGTTTGTATCAAGAGTTTTCTAAACGTCTTATTCTTATTTATGTATTTTAAAGCACACATTATCACTTTATGAGAGAAGGGGAATTGTCAATTTCTAACAACATTGATAATCAGATAGTCTCCAGCTGTCTAGGAAAAAGGCAACTTCCATAGTAATAGTTCCTTACTTGTTACTATTGCTTCGCGTGTGTTCTAGATTTGTCATCTCTAGAAAGTGGCAAACTGATTGTGGATGGCTTTGTTTCTGATATGCATTGGAAGTCGGTCCTTATTAACTGTTGTATCCGTAGCCAGTAAGAAACAGCCACAACGAATCAATTCTGAATGTCTTTCATGTGTTTATCTTTGTTTTTTTCTTATTCTCTGACACTCTGAATTAGGCCACCTACGTTTTAAGGCCTTGTACACTTCTCATATATTTTACTAAATACAAATAATTGTGTACTATATGAGCCAGTTATACATAATAACTCGTGGCATACTAATAGTGTTGATCAGCTTTGGGCATTTCCTTCATTTCGTTGATCATAGGACCCAATAGGAAACTCTAACATAGGTTCAGATCGGAACAATCGGCCAAACCGTCAATCCAGAGATATAACAGCGGTGAGGGGTCAACCCAAGGATGTTGCATCAACAAACCTCTTGTATGTCTTATTTTACAAAATGAGATCTATCATTTCATTCATTCTGATGGGAACCATATTTGTGTACGACATAAGCTGAGTGAGCCATATTGCAGACATGAAATTGATTTGTTAAAGTTGGTTTTGTTTTATGCGGACAGTGGACACAGTATTATTATATACTGTCAGTAATTATCATATTTCATCGATTACGTTGAGGGGTGATTGTGTGTACAATATGTCTTATTCTGCTCAATTAAAAGAATTCTAAATATAAACAGTTCAACGATTAGAACATTTTAGCAGGATAATGAGTACTTCATTTATGGTGAAGAAACTATTCTTTGGTCAGCGGGTTTCTATTGAAATCAAAGTTGCCAAGATGTTGACGATGAGGGGAAAGTGTTGATTGAGTCTTTATAAATTGCAAGCTCTCATTATTCAGTAGTCTACTTGGCGATTAGTGGTGGAACCTAATTGGCACTCGTCAGCTGCATGCATCTTCCTACAAGGTCTCGTGCTTACCGATGAGTCCCAACAAGCACGATACCTAGGTAGTGAGCTTCCTGCCAACTACCTCAAAACAACCGACATAATATGATTTCATCTGTGGATGGTTATTCTAGTACGTCACCTAAGTTGGTTTGTATCATCATTTTTGGGCTTGTTTAGCATGTTCTGTCATCTCGTTCTGAAGGGATATTTTGTATCAGTTACAAAAATTTCCTGTTACAAAAAAACATTACAGCTTGCTGCTAGTACTTAGAAGTGGATATTGTTTTTTGTTTTGTCCAATGCAGTTTGGCAATATTTTGTTAGATCTGTAGCGCAGATGTGTTCACTCTTCAGTGTCTCCTAAAGCTTGAATATTTTTACTAACATGAATTTTTTGCGGTCACTCTCTTCCCACACACTCTTCTCTAGTTCGATACCAATCTTTCTTACCCACTTGTTCTTTGTGTAATACTATGAATCGTGGTAAATTGAACTGATGCACTTGCATGCGAGGTTCTACGTTGATTTTGTCTCTCTGAGGCTTTCATATTACGTGTTAGTAGCCAAACGCTTAAATCTTGCTCTTTCGAGAATCATATGAAGACACTTTTGCCTATTTGTCAACAATTCAGCTGTCAATTTTCCTAGGTGTTTGATTTCTTGTTGTTGAATTAATTTATACTGTTGAACAACTTGATCGTGAGAGCGTCTTTTATAACGTTCGAATGAATTTTCGGTGACATGTTCATGCTACTCACAAGTAGTATAAAGCAACTGGTAAATTATTGCAATTGTTTAAACATGCTTTGTGTGTGTGCTTTTCTATCAATAAAGCGATAGCAGTTAGGAACCATAGAGGAGGTCGAAATGGAAAGAATAAGAACCAAAGAGATTTCAAAAAGACATTTTAATATGACTAATCACTTCTAAGAAATTTGCTAATACGAATATGAAGCTTTCTGTCATGTTTTTTAGAAGCTGAACATACTGAGTCATAAAAAAAGAAAACTTTGGCAAACCAATTTGTTCCCAGCTTTTTGTTCTTGGGAGCTGTTAAATCGCATCTGCATATAAATGATGTCCAAATTTAATGACAAAGAAGATTACGCTTCTCAGTAGGTTGTGTTCAACATCAAGCAGTAGTAAAATATATGACAATAAGAATACATAATTGTGGTAAAATGACTCTGCGTTGGAGTCAGGAAACGAAGTCTACCAAGAAAAGTAAGTCGGGATGAGTAGAATGGGAGGGAATACTATTATTTCAGACGGAAATTTACTCAATATTCAATTAGAAATCGTAAAGGAAAGCGGGTTGCTAGGTATAAAAATTGAAATATCATAAAGTAAGTGGATATGTGGCTTTTGAATAAATATTTCCTGTTATATAACTGCTAGGGCTTCAAAAATGCAGATTTTATTAATTAAATTTTTTATAACTACACTTCCACTCAAGTGCTGTCAGATAAAACTATTGGACAATTTGATGAGTAGTCTACCTTTAGTTACTGCCTGTGTACTTGGTTCTCAATGGAAGTAAGTGAGTTAATATTTTCACATAGATGTATTCATCAACAAATGACCAGCATAGTTTATTTTCAAGTTAGTCGCATGGGATTTGTACTTGATAGCTTTCATCAGTCTGTCTTAAGAATTTGTCTGGCATACTTCTGTTGTATTCTAAATCCAAAAACAGACTTTTCTACGGTGTCAGATGATTTCGACTTTAATTTAGATTCTCATTAAGTAATCTTAAGGGATGACCATTTATGATGACCACCGATCTTGGGAATCTTCTAGGTTCAAAGGTAATAGACTTAGCTTCTTTTCCTGATTTCATCTCTACAAACTGATCATTAAGAAGTGTTATCATTGTTTCGTGATTCAATTTATATAATGAAATTAATGAAAGAGTAGTTTTCATCTAAAGAATCTTGTTGATTTGAATTTTCATCAGTAACAGTGAATATCTCATCAACATGTTTTTTAAAATTTGAACTGTTTGATGTCTATATGTAGTATAGGTGTTTAAGATTTGGAAATGAAACTATCTACTAAAAGTGGGCGTAATAGAAACTCCATCCTTCTGACAGTAAAATGTGTTGTTATAGTTGGAATTTGAATCAAAAGTGCATTTTAACGGGAAGAAAAGTTCAAGGTATTTTATTTGTCATTTAAATGCTAACTGGATCTAAGTCAATTAATTCATGTATATAGTAGGTATTTTCAATGAAGGACAACTTTCGGGATCAGTCAAGCGAAATGAAATGAGAATGTGATATTGATCAAAACCTTTATGCTAAGTCTGTAGTCGACAGACTCATGTGTCACTTGATGAGTTCTTGAGAGATTTTTCTCCTAACAGTTGAGTTAACTGGTTATTCTACTGTGTATTTTTAATTTAGTATTTCTTGAATTTTCAACTGAAGATCTAATTTCTTTTTCCCTTCGACACATCACTGTTTACTTGCTTTGTTATATGTATTAAGCCTAAATTTATCTTATCTAGTGATTAGACACACTGTATTTTGTCTTTCGTGATTATGTACATAAGGGAATGACTCCATGTATTTCACATCTACCTTGCACTTACGATATGCGAAATTGATAACAACTTAATCGGTAAGCTGCTAATCTGCAATACTTTTCTATAAACTCAAAGTAAATAAATATGTGTATTCTTATTGCCTTGAATTCAATTGCGTTATAGCAGAGCAATTTTTAAGCGAATCTGTTTGAAGGAAGCAGTGATAAATTTTAAACGTTTTATATCATTTTTGTCAATAATAGTCTTATATAAAGTAATCAGAACTTCATTCAAAATCAGATAATTCCACTGTGCTACGTCCCTTAAAATTATGAAATAATCCTGCAGGATTTTAATTGTACCTAAAACTAACCAACGTCGTAATTCAATTTGAAGGTCTTTGGGAGTTTATTCATAACGGACTGACATCGATTGAAGAACCATTGAAGACCTGGGAGCACTGATCAGCCGTTTCACCATATTATAAAACTTCTCAACAGTGCATACCTCTAACAGAATTAGGGAAATGTGGACAACTGCGTTCCGACTCTGTGGGTTAGTGGTGACGTGCTCACTGCGAAACATAAGGGTAGTGGGTGCGCGATTCTGAAGAGTCCCACAGCACGACAAAACAGCTCCCTGTGCTTCCAGGTTTTCAATGCTTCTCCAACTGATTTCGGTCCACAATGATTGCCTACTTGAAACTTTAATAACGTTACTGTTTTGTGAACATGGTAAGATTTCGAAGAAGCAATTTGATTAGGAAAGATGGAGTTGTCTGATTCATGGGAGAAGAATAGAAACAGTCAAGTTTGATTTATCAGTTAGTATCAGTCTATAAATTTCACCAGACTGTCTCAAAAGTAACGTTGTTCACGCTCATAGGGATCAACTTTAACAATTAATTGATCCTGCTCACGATTTGTATATTATGTAGGATGTTTCATTTACAAATAATCTAAAGTTTTAATATTTAAGCATTTTTTCCTGATTCGTGGGGCTTTTTAATTTGGCATGGAACACCAAATTAGAAATTATCGAAGATGGTTCAAGTAGTTTCAGCCTAAATATATCAGTAGCTTTCTGTTTTCCTGTCAAACTGGGCAGGTGGATTCAGTGAATCAAAATTTACGATACAAGCATAGCTTCCTTGCTTCTCCTTCACATTCTTTTACCTGTCAAATTTAAAATGGAGCCTAGTTACTTCTCCCTTCCCTAACTATATTTCCCTGCGATTTACCCTGGACCACATTTTCAGACCTTTTAGATCATAAAATCTCCTACTGTGAACAACATAAGTAGTTAGAAACCACTCACACTGGTCTATAGCTTTCGCTAGTCGGATCAGAATGATCTAATCACCAGG